GGGGCAGGAGTATCGGACATGGTCAGAAAGTCAGGCTAATGGGGTAAGGGGAAAACAAAAGAAAATAGACACAAACTGATCAAGTGTAATGATTCTTAATTTCTTATTGAGTTATTTAAATTAACACAAAGAACATTTGCACCCCCTGTTGTAATTGTCCTCTGTCCGACGTGGGATTTAATCTATCCACTAGCAGACTACTGCTGCTTTAAAGTGTGAAGCGGGTCTCACAAAGTGCTGTCGAGCAAGACATTGCCAGACTGCTTGGGCCCAGCATGGCTCAGGAACTGCACAGCTGGACGTCATTCATCGGTGTGTGCCCAATGGTGATTGAGTAGACAGGCCCAGAGCCATCTGAAAGCGCAGGTGAAACTTGCACTGTGTGATCGCAAGACCGCGCGACCCAAAAGCGTCCCGCAAATCAGTAATGAGTGGGGGGTTCAGTAGGCCTACTGGATCCCAAATGGGCAAAGTTTAGCAGATATTCCAGTACTGGCACAACAGCTGTCAGGCCTAGGATGGGGAAGAAATTACCCGTACGACAGGGTTCGTCCGACTATGTTTCAATCAGGGGTGCGGCGGGAGGTGAGGACCTGCGTAGCCCTGATGCTATAACCACTGTCCGGTCAAGTCACTAGAAAAGGGTGATGATCGTGTGTGGGGAAAAACACTGAGGTAGGACCTTGGGAGTAGGGATGTGCCGGGGACAGTAATGATGAGTAAGGGTGGGAGGGTGTTTCATAGGGGGCCTGCATTAAACAATCATCTGGATGATCGAATGGCCAACTACTGAAGGGTCTGTCATATGGCTGGTGGCCAGCCTCTACAGCAAACTGAATTTTATGAAGGGAAAAAAAGCAGGGCTCGAAGAAAATGATTCTTTAAACCACCAGTCATTGCGAGCCTGTTTTGCCAAGCCTAAAAACTGAAACGTCCGAGCCTCTTTTTCAGCGGTATTGGGCCGGAGAACTTTTGACTGGGTATCGATAACGGCCTAGTCTGTGTGTGACAGGTAACAGACCTGGTTGGCCTTCTAGGCCTTTCCTAAACCTAACAGTAGGTCTATCAGCATCTGTATCTAGCCAGGAACCTGGCCAGATCCCCATACCGCACTAGGGGTAGACATTCTACTACAAGTCCCATAGGTGAACCCTTTTTCCTGCTAGAGAGATCCTAGCCTTATCGTCATCAGATCCCTCTGGTTATTATCTTGAATTCTATGTTCTTGAACCCTTTCCTATTGGAGGGACCCTAGCCCTATCATCATCAGGCCCCTCTGGTCNATCAGATCCCTCTGGTTATTATCTTGAATTCTATGTTCTTGAACCCTTTCCTATTGGAGGGACCCTAGCCCTATCATCATCAGGCCCCTCTGGTCATATGATGTTCTGCCACTTTGTCTTTCCCTGCTGTTGTCATTGACGTCGTCACCTGAATAGAACATCCAGTCATTATCTCTAGACTGAAAGTTTCCCCAATCACAGCTATAATGGGCGGGCAATCTACTGTGGTGAAGACGGTAGCTTGCCCTGAATTTCTGAACTTGCTTTCTAAAACCATTGAAATATTCTGCGAGCAACAAGGCACAACCTGACTGTTCTGGGGGCAACAGTCCGGTTTCTTATCACTGGCAAGTGACTGTTCAAGATAGTGGGGAAGAAATAGCTCAGATGAAGCATTGCATCTTTAGTCCCCATCTAATATAAACTTCGCAGATAGTAAGCCATAGTTTTGAGCACAGTACCAACGGGCCTAGCTAAGCTGGTACATCCATGAACTGTTGAAATACAGACCCAAGTTTGAATCCATATCCAATCAGATGAACCGAATAATATAATTGGGAAATATGTGGGCTCAATCAGTTCAATGATATCAGAACGTGTCTTAACCAGGGAAAGTAGGGGCAGAACAGGGGTATATCCAGGGAAAGTAGGGCTCTGAGGAAGCAATTCATGCCTTTGTTCAGGTTCTCTCGGCCATAACGGAGAGGTGTGGGTGTGTCTCATGTGTGTAAGGGAGGCTGGACCTGATTTCCAGATGTTATAATAAAGTCAAGCCCGGACTGGACCGAACTTTCGGAAGTGGATCATGGTTCTGTTTAATGACCCACATGTGCAGGTCCAAGTGAGCTGCCATCTATCTATGACGTATAAGATGTCTCGAGCGGTCAGACAGGGAGATCCCCTGACGATACCTATCTTCCTCTTCATAATGGAGGCAGAGAGATCCACAGAAAGTAGGGGCAGAACAGGGGTATATCCTTCCTCCGAGGAAGCAATTCATGCCTTTGTTCAGGTTCTCTCGGCCATAACGGAGAGAGGTGAGGACGTGTCTCCTGTCTGTAAGGGAGGCTGGACCTGATTTTCAGCTGTAATAGCCTGTTATCAGGGTTGCACACCCCGATGGTCGGCGGCCCTTGACTGGTCGGCTGCCGACCCGCCTACCGATCGGCTGGTCGGCACCTAGAAGTCGGGGATCATCGGC